CCTCTCTACCACCCGCCCCCCCCCCCCCCACAAGTGTTCCACGATTTCCATAATTCAGTTTTAGGGGGCATTCCGGGTTTTTGAGGACGTATAAACGGATTTCGGCGAATTTCTTTTGGAAAGGCATGAAACAAGCTATCATGTTTCCAGCTGCGAAAGGTGTCAGGAAGTTAAGACAAAAGCGCTCTCTCCGGCGTGTTTATTACAACCCCTTCCGATACCACAGCAAATTTGGGAGGACATAGCTATGGATTTCATTGGGGGAGCCTCCGAAATCTAAAGGGATGGACACTATGTTAGTAGTCATGGCCCGCCTTTCCAAATACGCGCATTTCTGTCCCTTGGCTCATCCTTACACGGCTAAACAGGTGGCCTCCTTATTTGTTCGGGAGGTAGTTCACCTCCATGGTTTTCCCCGCTCGATTGTCAGCGATCGCGATACGATCTTCATGAGTTTCTTCTGGCGCGAACTGTTCAAGTTGCAAGGAACTAAGCTTCAGCCGAGCACTGCCTACCATCTGCAGACGGACGGCCAATATGAGGTGACCAACCGCTGTTTGGAAACTTTTCTCCGCTGTTTTGCTTGTGACAAACCGCGGTCCTGGCTATTTTTTCTGCCCTGGGCGAAATATTGGTTCAATACGTCTTATAATGTGTCCATTAAGTGCTCTCCTTTTCGCGCGGTATATGGGCGTGACCACCCCACTCTCCATCGTTTCCAAGATAATTCTACGGCTGTCCATGAGGTCGCCACCCAATTACAGGAGCGAAATCAAATGCCGGATGTTCTTAAAGAACACCTCCGCTTGGCTCAGCAACATATGAAAATGTTTACAGACAGGCATCACAGGGAGGTATAGCCTCTCCTGGTGACTTGGTTTTGCTAAGGCTCCGCCCTTATTTCATGAAATCCCTCGCTCTGAAAGTTAACGAAAAGCTCAGTCCTCGTTTCTATGGACCCTTCGCAGTTTTGGAGAAAGTTGGTCCGGTTGCCTATCGGCTAGACTTACCCGCCTCCTCCAAGATTCACCCCCTTTTTCACGTGTACCAGTTGAAGCAATTTCGGGGGCAGCAGTACAAGGGTCAACCACCTCTTGAGTAGTTGACAGCCAAGCTGGAAATGGTTGTCAGGCCGGTCGCCGTTTTGGACTCTCGCACCATCCTTGTTGGGGGGCGCCATGTGGATGAGATTCTGGTTCGTTGGGAAGGCCTACCCTCTTAGGATGCCACTTGGGAACCTGTTGCTGTGATTAGGGACCAATTCCCAGCTTTCAACCTTGAGGACAAGGTTGTACTCGTGGAGGGGAGTAATGATAGGTCTCCTCTCATTAAGTTTGTTTACGCTAGAAGAAAGGAAGAATGACAAGCAAGGGCAGGTTGGTAATTTGAGTGAGAATTAGCCTTGGGGAAAGCAATTCAGTTAGGATTTCCGGTCTTGGGAATAAGGGAGGTGAGTTGGGCATGTGTCAAACTTAATGGGAGGAGACCTATCATTACTCCCCTCCATGAGTACAACCTTGTCCTCAAGGTTGAAAGCTAGGAATTGATCCCTAATCACAGCAACAGTTTCCCAAGTGGCATCCTAAGAGGGTAGGCCTTCCCAACGAACCAGAATCTCATAAGTTTGTTTACACTAGAAGAAGGAAGAATGACAAAAGAGGGCAGGTTGGTAATTTGAGTGAGAATTAGCCTTGGAGAAAGCAATTTAGTTAGGATGTCCGGTCTTGGGAATAGGGGAGGTGAGTTGGGCATGTGTCCATTAGGAGTATTGGCTAGTTGGTTAGAGGAGGGTAGAATAAATAGCCTAAGCCTGGAGTAGGGTGGTATCGTGAATTTGCTGTAAGTGTTGGTCATTTGGAGGTTTAAGGGTTCTCGAATTCTCCTCTTATCTATATTTTCAGTAATTCTTCAGTAATACAAGGAATTAGACCCATTTTCTGGTTATTTTCCATTCATTTCCTTACTTGTTCCTCACGTTCTTAGTAGAAATTCTCAGTTAATTCCAGGAACCTAACAGAAAAGAACGGTTTATTATTCAACAAGAACTTTATGCGTTGAGAAGATGTAAAAAAAAAATATTAGCAAACATCGTCTGCTATAATAGCCCTCAAATTAAATTACCATACTCACTTGGTTAAGGAATTCAACAGAAAGCATGTTGGTTTCAGTGATCTCAGAGACGGAAGCTGCGATTTTACAAGTTACATTATGAAATGTATTTTGCTCCACCATAGGTATATCCATCAAATTCCACAACTCCAACAGAGAAGTCACAAAATTTTGAAGCTGTTACAGCACCAAGGTTGAAAGGTTAAGCACAAAGAAAGCTTCTCATATGAACCCCTATCTATTTTGAACAAAACAATATAACAAGTACCATAATTTTCTATATTACCTTCTCCCATCTCTTCTTCTTGACCTCTCTCAATCTTTCTACTGCACCAGTCAAACTATTAATTGTGTTATTACTTATGTCCTTTACAGCCTTGGAATCATTCAATGTGGGATGAATCTCACAGATTGTGCTCTTAAAATCCACACCAAGAACCAAGCACAGCAAATTCAGAGTTGTCACTAATTCCTCAACCTGTGTCTGACGGTTTCTCTGCAGGTGAAATATGATGCAATTTTCCGGTCAAATTTAATCCATCATAACATGGATCGTTTTACTTCGCTGACTAGTCCTGCATTAAACAGAAGCAGTCTTCCTTTTTTCGGTTTATCTTTACACTTCCATGTTAAAAAACATGACATTAAGCCTACTTTCCTTGCTGCTGTTCCTAAGCTAATTATAAATTTCAGCATATTATTCATTAAGTGTCAACATTGTACTCAAATTCCCAACTAAAACATAATTAGAATTTGCTCAAGTTTATTCAGAAAACAAAAGGCTAGAACCTTCTCATTTTGATAATCAAGCAACAGCGCACGTAGTTCTTCTAGTCTCTTCAATGACAAGTCAGTCTCATCCACGACCATTTTATATAGACCATCTTCTATAGATCCGCTTAAATCATTTGAAATTTTCTCTAACTGATCCATAACTTCAAATATTTTGTTCTTCCTTTCAATTTTCCGTCTCCGCATTTCCTCGAGTTGTATAGAACGACAGACTCAAGCTCATTCTTCAATCCTCCAACGGCATTCCAAACAGCTTGCAGACACATATCAGAGATTGCAAACAATTACAAATATCCATTGGGACTTCCAGAACAGGGATACTAATAAATAAATCCATTTCCATCTTGGGTCTATGCAAGGCTTACATGAGATTGTTGCTCACCCAAAGCGAAGCAAATGTCCGAAATTTCTGTGCGAATCTTGGCAATTTCTTGTTTCATCTGTGCTCTATACTTGATTTTCTCGTCAACACTTTTGTTCAATCTCTTCCAACATCACATCCCTTTCTCGATCGGTCTCTCCAACTTCATCCCAAATTTCCTATGTAAGCAATAAAAGGATTTCTACATATATCAACCGCTTATGCAAAATTTCAACCAACACGAGCAATGCATCCTAGACCTTGAACTTCAGATCAAACGGGCTCTCAATCATGAAGAACACCAAGAACTATACGAGAAAAACACAAACTAGGCTCCAAATCCAATGGGGTAACGGGTTCTTGGTACTCTTCATGTGTTCTTGATCGAAAGTTCGTTTGTTCCGAAGTTCAAGGTCTAAGACATTCTTGGTGTTGGTCAAAATTTTGTATAAACATCATCAAACTACAACAAACAACAGTATTGGATCAAGCCTAACAAGCCAGAGAAAAGGTTATTGATTAAGATTAAAAACAAGCGATTTTATACTTTTTAGTCAAAGGAGATTAAAGAAAACCTGAAGTTCCTGTAGCATTAATCCGCAAATGATTTCTTTACGCACAAGCTGATCGTTATCCTGATTAAACATATTGAACCAACTGCCAATGGAAATATAAAAATAAATAAATAAAGTGAAATAATCATAGAATTTTACCTTAACATTTCATGTCTCTCATAAATTTTTCATCTTCTTTTCTCGCACTTTCTGTTCAAGAGGGTAAAAATCATCTATTTTTCGTTTTTTTTTTCCCAATATCGTCATCAAAAGCCAAGAAAGATAAGAAACAATTGAAAAAAAAAAAAGTTCAGACCTTGATTGACGATAAACAAAAGAAATGAAAAACTAGGTCATAATTCATATTGTTAATTCTTCCTCCAATGTGAAAATCAACAGTTGTGGTAGCTGAAACAGTGGATTCTTAGGCTACATTAACATTTTCCTTGCTGTTTTCTAGCCAACCAAACAGAGCGTAAAGAAGATGACGAACCTGATTTTGCACTACAATTCTAGGGTTTGGAGTTTCGAATAACTTTTTAGCAGATTTCGTCAAACGTAAAGCTTGAATTTGGCGGGAAAAGATTTTCCGAAAAGAAAAGAAAAGAAAATGGTGGGAGACGAGGGAGGAGGGAAAGAAAGGAGATTGAGCCGTTATGATGAGAAAAATCAGGGGCAACATGGTTTCGACACGTCGGCATTCTTGTGATCTTGGTGACGTGGCCTGCAGAGATTGACCTTGGGCATTTTCGACGGTGGAGATTGTCCGTGATCAAATTAGTTTTGAATTTTTGAACTCGGATTTTTGTTGCTAATTTGTAGCTTTGCTGTTCTAAATTTGCTGAAAAACTTGTACTACAAGTCAATAATGAATATTAATTAATTCTTAAAAATATTATGGGAGATTTATGCTTATTCGCGGTATTTATTGTGCAATTCTTCTGTTTGATTTATTATTAATAATAGTATAATACATTCTTCCTTACAAATATCAGTCATCAAAAAGCATAACTTACGTTTTAAAAATATTTTTAATAAATGGAAAAGAATTAGGGAAAATAGCTATCTTTTATAACAGTCACATTTCTATATGACATGCTTAACTATAATTGTCCTTTTATAAAAATAAATCAACTTAAATAAAAGTGTAATACTGAACAAACGGATAATATTGATTTCACATTTAATTTAAAAGGTCAATTCTAACAAAATTTCAAAAAAAATGTCATAAATTGGTGTGTCATAATATTATCAAGATCATGTATATAAAAAAAAGTATAGACATAAGAGTCGGATCCACTTTATTGAGGGTGGTGTCGTGAAAGCAACCATCTATATTTAAGAAGAATAAGGATAAGTTAAAAAAAAAAGAAAAAAAGGGTGAATAAAGTAAAGGGTTAATGTCATGGCAGGTTTTAGAATTATTGCTAATAGAACACGTTTTGTAAATCCTTTTATGAAACGATCTTATCTGGATGGTAGAATGGTGATTATTAAATTGAATTAGAGAAACCACTAAATTTAGAATACATTGACTGAGTGTCATAACTCTTACATAATTCTACATTGAAAATTAATTTTATATTATTCACCATTGGATGTTATTTCAATCTTGAGTGATTAATGGACTCGAGTCAATTTATCGTGTCTTTTGGCCTATCAAAAGCTTGATAAGTTGGAGAAATAGTATTACAGATAGTAGGAACGTTATTTTATATACATGAATTCATAACTTATCAGAGAAGATAAATAATATTCTATAAGTATAAGAGCATAAGGCTGCTCTGGAGAGGATTGAAGTGGAGTACAAGGAGCAGTTAGCAGGATTGAGGAGGGACGGGGAGGCTAAGGAGCAGAAGTTGGCCGAACAACGCGCCGTCACAAAGTTTCTAGAGCAGATGGGGTGCAGGCCGCCGAGGCTTGCTGAGCCTAGTAGCCGGTGAGAAATGTCTGTTACATGCAGTTGTTTCCCCGGTACTGAGCTGGGGAGTTCTTTTTTTTTTTTAATATTCTTATTTATTTGGTTGATATTTGTGTGTATTCTCTTCTGAAATGCTTATCAAAAGGGGTGTTATGTTTTACATATAATTAATCCTCGTTTTGATTGGACTACTGAACGAACGAAAGGGATTCATGTTTCGAGTAGAGAATTTGAGTTAAAAATTAAATTTATGTGAGAAAAAATATTGTAGCAAAAGAAGTTAAATTTGAATTTTTATGAGAGAAAATACTGTAGTAAAAACTTAAGTTGTGATTCGAACTAGTGAAACGAACGAGCCATTAATCCAGAAGAGAAAATAAAATTGAATCATAATTCATCTCTTTTACTTTAGCATTTAGTCTGAAAAAGGATGCAATAAGATGGAAATGCTTGTGTTATGTTTGTCAAAGAAAAGGAGATAATAGAATGTTCATGTTTTTTTGTTACTATCAATCAGAAAGATAATGGTTGAAATGCATCATATCTTATAAGGGATTTGTTTAGCTTTATTCATTGATCAAACCAACCTGAATTTGATAACTTTTTTTAGGGGTTATTGGCTTCGGAAATGGAAATATTTCTAAAGTCACTCTTTTATGCCTATATAAATATGTACCAGTATTCTAAGCCAAAAAGGAAAAGAGGAAAAAAAAATTATGATTCCAGTGATCTAAGGACTGGTGTTGAGTATTACTGAGTATAGAATGATATTGAGAAAAGTATATGTGTGTGTTGTCCTACATGAAAAGTTGATGAGAATGTAAAGTGATTTATATACATAGAAGGACCCAAGACCTAATAGGTTAACCTCTTTGGTCAAGTTAGGCTCCTGAAGTGTGTTGGGACAGTTTCGCATGTGGTGTCTCCCCAACAAGTGGTATCAGAGCTTATGGTTCATATGTGTCAAGCGATCACACTCGGTTGCAGTTCCCATGTTGCCTCCCGTGGAGAGTTGGTGTTCTTGCAGGTGCACGGATGGTGGAGCATTTGGTGTATGGTTTCAGCTCTCTTTCACATGCTTGAGCTGGCTCCCGTTTGGAGTGTGATGCTTAGATGTGCAAGCTACTTGAAACTTTAATTCGAGGGGGAGCTCGGTGAACACATACATGAGGGGAAAATTGTTAAGAAAAGTACATGTGTGTGTTGTCTCGCATGAAAAGTGGATGTGAAGTAGTTTATATACACAGAAGAACTAAAGAGCTAATAGGTTAACCTTTTTGGTCAAGTTGGGCTCCTGAAGTGTGTTGGCCTAATTTTACATGTAGTATCTCTCCAATAAAAGATTATCTAGCTAGCTATCTGAACAACTTAAAATCATAGCAAGTCTATCTAGCTAGTTAGATAGTTAAGTGTAAAGAAATACGACCAGAAACCAACCACTAAAGAATCAAGCACGCAACGAAAACGTAAATCTTTAAGAATATAAATAAAAATACCAAGAGATTTAAACGTGATTCGATCTAACTTGGATCTACTCCACGACAGAACACTCACAAGAACAATTCACTAATCTTTGAATTAAGTTACACCCTCAAGAAAGAAGGGTTGTGTTTAGAGTTATTTTTGTTTTTGTTTTTCACGTTTTTTGCGAAAGAAAAAATAAAAACGGGAGAAAAACGGTGTTTGGCACAATTAAAGATAAAAAACATAAATGAAAATGATTTTTTAGTTTAGTGTAAAATGGAAAAAAAAAATAAAAAATAACTTTTAGTCATTTTTTATTTTTTATTTTCATTTTTTCTTCTCTCGAGTAGAGAGAGAGAGAGACGTTAATGGATTTTTTTATACTGAAAATAATCTTTTGATAAAACTACCAAATGCATTTTTAAAAATAATTTCTGTCTGAGATTAAAAACGTTTTAATTTTCATATTCATACAAAAAATAAAATCATTTTAAAACGAGTTTCAAACGCACCCAATATTTATCTCTCACTATCTCACTTTCTCTGATACAGTTCTTGAAAGCAAGAACTCTCTCACTCAGTACAAGACGAATACAAAAGACCCTTACACTTCGTTGGTAGGAGGGAAAGAAAAGAGAATGGAAAAAAAACACATAAAAAGAAAGAAAATGTGAGGAAATGAATGAAGTTGATTTTCCTTTATAGTGTTTGGTATAATGAGATAAAAGAAAACATGTAATAGCCTAAATGACTATTTTATTAATTGTTTAATATTAATTTAGATTTTAAAATAAGAACACAAAAGTAAATTTAACTATCAATGAGTGAATTTGAGTTATCCTTCTAATGTTAGAGAAATAAAAAATAGTGGCCACACCATAATTTTTTTCCATCTTATTTTTTTTTTCTCTCCTCTCTTCATTCTTACCAAACAATTAATTCTATCATTTTCATCCAATAATTTATCTACTTACTTCCTTCCTTCAACTTTTCTATCATACCAAACAAACTCTTATTCTCACTTGATCACTCAGATTACAATTCAATCAATACAACATGACTCTATTCCCTTATGTACCTATAGGCCGCTTAGAGAATAACTATCCAGTACAGATGTCATGATCCTATTTGTCTGACTTGGCAACTTCTTAAATCCACATTAGCTAGTTCTTTCTTATTTGGCAGCCACTTGACATAACATTAAAACCCATTCATTTTACTGAGGTTAAAATTTAAAATTTATTATAATAAAAATTTTTATAAATAATTATATTTAATTTTTTTATTATAATAAAAATTTTTAAATAAAATTACATTTTAATTTAAATTAAAAATTTAAATCAACAAATTAAATAGATTTTAAAATAATTACTCCTGACTTGTTGGTGATAAATCATCAAGGCCATCAATGATGTGGGACAAGGGAATGTTTAATCAAAGCATGTCGATCGAAAAGGGTAGAAAGAGCCTCAATTATGATCACCATGACCAATTTCAGTGTATTCAGCTTCCACCACTTTTGCAGCCGATTCAACATTCGCTTCTACAGCAATGCAGGCCTTTTTTTTTTTTTTTTTTTTTTTTTTTGGTCTTTGACAACAGCAACTTGCATTGAGATTTTCCACACCGTCATTAGCAATATCAGCTGCTTCGGCGAGACTACTAATAGTAAGTGTACCAACTTGATTAGTGGCTGGAGCCTAGAGGATCAACCTAATAATTGTCGGGAGTTGTTTGGTTAAAGAATTTGTACCCCGATTCAAATTATGGTTCGTGATTTGTTACAGTATTTTTTTTTCATAAAAAATACATGTAAATTAAAAATAGTTTTAATCTCATAATTATAATTCATGAACCAAACGTCTCCTAAATTCATGATTGGGAAGAATAGTGTAAAATAAAGAAAATACAGAGAAAGGTTTTTGGGCATAAAAAAAGGGAGTTGTTCTTTTGGAGTGTAACTTGAGTGTAATTTTTGAGTTGAATTTGAGTTATAACTTGAGTTGAAGTTGTAACTTGAATAAAGTTGAGTAAAGTTGAAACTTAAAAGAATGTGAACTTGAATAAAGTTAGAACTCGAGTTGTCTTTTTTTTGAGTTTTTTAGACAAAAGAACATGCCCTAAGAAAATACTATGAAAGAGGATTATTCCTATTATACTGAAACTGTATGAATTGAGGCCTTAAATATATTGAGAAAAATATACCTTTACACTCACACAGTAGAAAAATAAACTGAAATAAAAATAATAAAAAAATATAAAAGATAAAAGTTTAGATAGTTCGGAAAAATTTCTTACGTCTACGGAAGAAGGATAAAAAAGTCATTAACAGTTCAGAATTACACACTCATACAAATTTTTCACTTTCCGTTTCTACCCAAAACTCTTAAACTATTTGTCTATCTCTTTTCTCACTTTTCTCTCTCTATCTAAAAGAAGCACTATTTCTCTAAATATTTTTCTGATCACACATAAAACTTTACATAAAACACTTATTTATAAACTCTTAATAAACCACAAAATAACCCTTACTTAAAAATTGAAAACAGTAACTTACCTAAAAATACAAAATTATTACTTTTTCAAAATCAATTTGAATCAATTACCTAACTAATATTACATATACAACATCTTGTAACTAACTACAACAGCTAACTACTAAAACGAATCCATGTGTATAGTATAATCAGCCAAGTATCAACGTCTTGTTAACTACACCAACTAAACAACGGTTAGTCAAACAACTCACAACTAATCTGAATCTATTCCTAGTAATACCCCATAACTATCTACGACTTTTTTCGCTGATTCGAGTTTAGAATTCGAGTTTTGTTACAGTAAAAAGTTCTCAGAAATAATCACATCTAACTTTTTTGCTACAGTAAAAAACTCTCACACAACATCACATCTAAACTCAAATTAGCGAACCGAACGGGCCATACTCTTAAATCTTGTACTTGAACATGCTTACTGAAGATATCTGCTATTTCGATTCATAGATGGCACAAGTCTTAATTCTTATGTCAACTGTCTTCTGCAAAACCGTTTCTCTCACACAAGAAAATAGAGATCAATCTCTATGTGCTTTGTCCCGAGTGCAAAGCTGGATTAGCAGCAATTTTGACACCAACAAAAAAAAAAAGGTATTCTAGAGATTTGGATTTTCAGCTCAATGGGTAGGGATTGTAGCTATGTAATCTCTAATCTCTATTCAGCAAAAAGAAGATTGCCAAGCGTCTACATTCGGCCTCAGTTAAAGAACGTGACATTATGTTGCTTGTTACATTATCAAAATACTAAGCTTGTTCATTTTATCGATTCAAATTTTATTAAAATAAAAATATCTCAGAAACAGTCACATTTAATTTTTTTATTATAGTAAAAAAATTTTACATGAAATTACATCTCAACTTAATTTTTAAATTTGAATCAACAAATTAAATAAACTATAAAATTATGTTCTAAATAAACGCTGTCCACTGAAAGTATACCTCCTATCCTCCTATCAGTAGAGGCCCAATCCGCATCAGAATAACTTACAACATTTAAATTGTCATGACGTCACTTTCTTAAATTGGGGTCATGACAAATGGGATTGAATAGCTTTGTAATCCACATCTTACATTTGACACTAATCAAAAAAGAAGAGAAGAACAGAAAAGCTTGCCCCAAGATCTTTACACAAAATTTTCAATATTCATTTACGCTAGCAGTTTGATTGAACGTTAAATGAACAAATTAACGCTAAAATATCATTTCAGCTTAATAATAGTTTGGTTAGTTTTTGTTGAAATAGAATAATATATTTCCATTTTTATACTATTTTTTATTTTTATTTTTCTTCTAATTTTGACACCTTAATATTATTATTATTATTTTTTAAATAATTACAAAATTATATTTTAAATGCAAAACATAAAATTTAATCAAAGCCATATAAGTAAATTAACAAAGTGCATTCTAATTCTGAGTTTAAGTAGGGGGTATAAATGAGACTTACAGCCTCGTTTACTTTGCGGATTTGAGTTTTCAATTCGAGCTGAGATGTGACATTTTTTTAGAGTTTTTCACTGTAGAAACTTAAAACTAAAAACTTAAATTAGTAAAATAAACGAGACAATAACTATGATTTGATTACTCCGATTCCAAATCCTAACTTTGAATTCCAATTCATGCCCACTTTCGTTAGGCATAAGAAAACATGTTAATAAAGCTTGTTTATGTCTTTCAAGGAGGGCAACAGTATGGAGGTTCATAAAAAGTAGAAGTATAATGTGATATTTATTTAATACAATTATAAAATTGAAAAGGAGTAATAACAATTCTAACATCAATGTTATGTTGGACAAATGTATATTATATATTTGATTTCTATATGTTACTTGGGATTACAAGAGGACATAGACAATAGTTAATATAGGTGCGAGTTCCGGCCAACTCAGATTTAGTAATTTAAAGAGAAATTTTGGATCAGCTTAATTCAATTTTAAAGAAAAAAATCGGCCTAATCAAACCCTAAAACTTAGCGGGCTGAAACCGGATCGATCGAGTCAAATCTTTATAAGTCAAAATTATTTAAAACAATAAATGTAAAGATACGGTTTAAAAATACTCTTTAAATTCAGATTGATTCGAACTAATCTAAATTTTTATAGAGTTGAGTATTAATGATTAGACTTTATACGGGACTGTTTGATTGGTCTAAATTTGCCGTTATATTAGAAGAGTCCTCAAAGTTCAGACGTATAAAGTGCGAAATTAATCGGAGAAAGCTGAATTTTTCCACAGCAAGAAAAACACAAAGCGAACAAACAAGAAAGCAACAAGAAACAAGGCTAATAGAACAAAGAAAAAAAGAAATTCGAAAAAAAAAAAAGTAGATAGAAGAGAGAGAAACAGAAAGGCAACCGCACAACTACAACTACAACTTCTCTTATTGAGTTTTTTAGTAGAGAGAGAAACCCTTGAGTTCTCAAATGTCAGAGAGAAACGGAACACTCCTCAGAAATAGAAAAATAAAATAAAAACAAAAAACCCCACACACACATTGCATCAGAAACTCTCACTCAAAACAAAATAAAAAACAAATCTTTTCTTCTTCCTTTTCCTTTTGTTGTTCCACTTCCTTGTTCAATTTTCTCCTCATGAATCCGAGCAAAACGGAAGAGGATCTCTTTCTCGACCATCTGGGCCCACCACCACCACCACCACCACCCCCACTAGCGGCTCAGATCATCTCCCACCACCACCATCACCACCACCAACACCACCATCAGAGCCAATCACAGCCGTCCATTCCCAACCCTCACGACGACCCTCCCTTCTCCCTCCCGGAGATCGTCATCTTCCGCTCCTCCTCCTCCTCCTCCTCCCCCTCCCCCTCTGACGATGAAAACGACGACGTTTCCACCCATCTCCCCCCAAACCCTAACCCTAATTCCTCAATTCTCCCCACCATGAACAACCAGAACCAGAACAACCCGAATTCCCAGCCTCTCTTCATCAGCCCCGAGCCCCACATCTCGTCGCAGTTCTACACCTTCAACCCCGAATCCCACTCACTCATGATCCGCTGCCTCCTCGAGCGCCGCCTCGCCACGCCGCCGGAGATCCGCGCCGCCACTCCGCGCGCCGTCCTCAAGTCGTGGCGCGCCGTCTGGAAGGACCGCAACGAGGACACGGCTTACCTCACAGCTTGGAAGCGGATCCAGGACAAGCTCTCCGCTCACGTCGACCAGAACGGTAACGAATTCCTCTGCTTCAAGAACAATTCTCAGCAATTCGTTTCGCATGTTAACCAGTGGCAGGAGATCGTTATGAGTTTCCATGGCGATACCGACATGAAACACCTAGGGCTTAAGGAAACCATTGATAGGATTAAGCAGGTCTGGACTGTAGGAGCGAAGTTTTATGGAATTCCTGAGAGTTATATTAGGGTTTGTGTCGCTAATTGCCCCGTTTGCTCGTCGGCGTCCTCCGGTGGGGCCGGGCGGAGCAAGCGCCGTAGGTTTGAGTATACGGAGTCTTTTGATGTGCCTGCCAAGGAGGTGCCCCATAGGCTTCAGCAATTGGCTGCTAAGCACAAGGTTGTGCTTTGCATTAGGCAGAAGTATATTAGGTATAAGCCGTTTATGGCCGAGGTTAAGGACTATGCTTGTCATAGGGCGGGAGAACCAGCAGCCAAGAAGTCGAAGATTTTGAAGAGGGAACCGTATGCGTCCAAGCGGTGTGGGTGCGGATTCCGAATTCGTGCCATTGTGCCGATTGCCAATTACAATGAGAAGGACAAGACTTTTGTTTATGAAGAAGAAGGGATGGCCGTTTTTAAGTTGTATGCTGTCCATTCGGGACATGAGCCGGGCCCTTTGGACGGAAATGCAAGGATTATGCATCGAGTTGTGGGGCATAAAGGGGGTTATTTGATGGATCAAGATACGGTGTACGGGGTGAATGAGGATATGGATAATGAAGGGTTTGGGCTGATTGGGAAGGATGAAGGGGATTTGCATCTTTCGGTTTTGCAGCAGGTTCATGAACTGAGAGCTGAAGTTGGGTTGTTAGAAGCAAAGATTGCCAAGATACCGCAAGAGTTATTGGGGTCTGTGTCTCGAGAGTTATTTGATATTGTCAGTAGGGTTAGGCGTATTGGGGAAGATAATTTGAAGCCGATTGGGATGCTACACGATAAGCCACATGCTGATGACGTGTTGGTTGGGGAGGATGATTTGGCTCATTGGAGTGATCATCACCATGAACGAATATATGTGGATGGAAAAGATACCGAATTGATCGAGGATGATGAAGACAGCTTTGGGAGAACTCTTGGGGATGTTGTTTCTTGGGACCAGATGAGGGCAGATTGTAGAAATGAAAAGGATTTGATGAGCGAGTCTTGTAAATCTGAAAAGTGGCTGAAATGCAGTAACTTTGACGAGAAGAGCATTCTTGATTGTGAAGATACAAAGCTAACCAAGCCCTTAAGACATGATGAGGCGTTAGTGGCAGATGTAGGTCTCGTTGGCATACAGGTTGATAGTTTCTACCAAGATAACACAAAGTGGTATGATTCTCCTTGTGGATTGGACTCTAGTGCTGATTGTGGGGATAGTGGCTTCAGACACGGGGAGATTGTTTAAAGTCTTTCTCGAAGAATTGGTTAAGCCTCTCTAACATACGTGAGTTTATGATACCCCTTCTCAAACTGGAAGTGTGTTGTACATTTATGTATACAGAAGATTGGAACCTCTAACATGCTTTTAGGTTCCTTTATTTATTTTGTGTGGTTCTGTAAAGTATAGCCCAATTGGGCTTTCTGCACAGTATGTATTCTTAACTATATTTGTTGACCAGGTTTTGGTACTTCGATTTAGATCGGTCCTAAGTCCTAACAATGCATATCGGCGAGTATTTTCTTCAACATTTGCTGTTGAAATTCTGTTATGCAGTACATGAGCAGTTTTGTTCAATTCTCATTGTGAACTTGTAAGATTTATGGAGCTCTGTGTGTGAGACTTGTAACCGTTCTTATTTGCAAATATTTGTTGCTTAGAGACTGCACACGCCCTCTCTTTCTCTACTGAAAGTTTTTTGACCAGCCTCGTTATTGCCTGGATCTATCTGTACCACACGGTGAACAGTTTAAGCCTCATAATGGTTGGTTCATTGTGCGTTTTGTTTTGGATGTTGTAAAATTATGAAGTCTTTGTATGAGTTTATAGAATTGTTGGGGACATATATAATTGGTCTTTTGTTTTGAGACTTCCGTGTGTTGCCGTCATGGTTTACATTGATTTTGTAGCAATAAATCTGTGTTTCAGAGGCATACTTCCTAGTTTCTCTGTATTAATGTCTTAGGACTAGGAAGCGTTTTTGGGTGGCTACTAAGCGGAAGAAATAAGATAACTGTATGGTGGCCCTGTTGTCTATTTGCTTGTACACATAACTTTTAAATGAGATCTGCATTTAATTGTTGTCGTTGTCATGAATTATAGACATGTTTGGTCGCAGAGGCTAATAGGCCATGAACGGACAGTGGTACTCTTCTTTCTTTCTTTCTTTCTTTCTATATATATATGTGTATATATTTAAGTATTATTTTCTCTCTGCATTATAGAGGAATGTGAAGTAACTGAGCAGTGTTTCTGGTTGTACTTGTGCTCGTGAAATTCTTGTGACTTTAATTGTTGAATCTCGATGGTGGCAATAAATCTCTCTGGTTGCAGAGGCATACTACTAGATTCTCTGTATGACTCATTTAGGACTAGGTAAGAAAGAAGATAATTACATGGTGGCCCTGTTATCTATTTGCTTGTATGTATAAATGTTATATGAGATCTGCCTTTAATTGTTGTCCTCAGCAGGA